TGCCTTGAATAGGATGAGTCAGAGGTCAGCATATCATTCAGGTTCAGTCAGAGCGTAGAAAACAAAAGATTATCTGAGCTCATCTCAGAAATGAAGAAAAGGCATTTTTGCACTCATGAAAATTGAGCAGATGGGGTGAGGGGAGTTGACTCACCACAGTTCCCAGCAGCTCGTTGACTGTTTAGACTTGCATTTAAAATTCTGTCTCCTGTTTTTAAGTTTTTCCCTAATTATAACTTTTGCATGCTCTTTATCTTAATCTTGGGTTAGATCATTTTTTTCTGCCCACCTAATTTTCCAGCCTCCCACGAAGCTGACAAAGTATAGAGAACATGTTTCAATTCTTGGGATCACTTTGTTATATATCTAGCAACAATCCTAAGAACTTTTTTGGGGACTTTAGACTTTAAACATTACGGTTTTAAATTTAATTTCAGCTGTTGTTGGTGTATGGTGGTGATTTTAAAATAGCTTTCTAACTCTCCTCCCCTTCGTCACATCATTTTCCTTGCTGTCATCATTTTGAGTTTCAGAATAAGTACAGAGTAAGAAAAACAAATAGGGAAGATATCCCGTTATATAATAAAGACCAAGATAATTTTGGAAATGCTGTTGGTCCTTTATAAATCACTTATGCCTCGTTCTCTGTTCTTGGAGCTAAGGTTTGTAATATTAATAGCTTTTGAGAAAATTCCAGAGATTGTTGACTATAAGGAAATTGTATTCATTGCTTAACCTAGTTGGTTATGAACGAACATTATTTTTTTATTTTTTTATTTTTTTTTTTGCTACTGGAGATCGAACTCAGGTCCTTGCGCTTGTGCAGCAGGAGGTGGAACCACTGAGCTAACTCCCCAGCCCCTGAAAAAGCATTATTACTAGAGTAAGGCTGCAATGGAATTCTACTTTCATGATACCACAGGTTCCTTAGCATCATTTTCACAGTTGAAACACAGATAGCTTTTGGTCTTTCATCTCCATTTCATGAAATTTATTCTACAGAAGTAGAATATGCCTTAGCATGTAAAGGTAGGTGTGTGTGTGGGGGGGGATCACTGCAATGATAGGAGAAATAAATGAATAGTAGTAAAGTTGGCCATGGTGGTGTGTGCCTGTAGTCCCAGCTACTTGACTCCAGGAGTCTAAGACCAACCTAGGCAACATGGTGAGTCCCCAAAGAGCAAACAAAATAAATAGCAATAAAAGAAACATAAACTAAATGTCCCAAAATGGAATAGAACCTAACCAGCCATTAAAAACAAAGAAGTGTTAATATGGAGAGAGAGAGACCCGTTGTTGTCCAGAGAGCTTCTTCACACTCTGTGTACATCTTGTCTCTTCCCACCTCCACCCAATCCTCACATCCCCCAAGAGGCACCATGCAGAAGAGATGCTGTTCTTGTGAGTGTGCTGTGCACTTAAGTGTGGGAGGAAGAAGAGATTATAAAGCAGTGGGCCAGAGCTGCTGGTCTCAGCAAGCCCTCCGGGGGTCTCGGCAATCGTGATTCCCAGCACAGAGTGAAGCTTTCACTCCCCACCTGCCAAGTCCAGGATCTCTGAATAAGGACCACAGCCAAAATAGACTGGAATCTGGTGAAGTAACAAGGATTAAGCCTGGTGATGTAGGGGAAAAGAAGAGAAAGGATAATCCCTGGAAACAAGACTGCTTCTAGCACTCCTACAAGATTGTAAAAGAGCAGCTTTAGCAGAGTGTAGTGGTGCTTGACTGTAGTCCCAGCACTCGCGGAGGCTGAGGCAGGAGGACTGCAAGTTCAAGCTCAGCTGGTCAACTTACCAACTTAGTGAGACCCTGCCTCTCAGAACAAAAAATTAAAAACGAACTGGGATGAAAGGCTCTGGTTCAATCCCAATACTGCCAGAAAGGGGTGGGAAGGGAAGTGTGAGCAGCTTTGGAGGTTAAGAAGAGATTTAGCTGAAACAAGGGAAACTTTGACGATAAATAGAAAGTACTTGTGAAGAACTACCAGGCTCTCTTTTTTTTGTTTTTTGTTTGTTTGTTTTGCTTATTAAGACAGGGTCTCACTGTGTAGTTCAGGCTGATCTTATACTCACTAAGTAGCCCAGGCTGCCCTTGAATTCATGGCAGTCCTCCTGCCTCAGCCTCCAAGTGCTGGGATTATAGGCGTGAGCCGCCACACCTGGCCACCAGGCTTTGTAATGGTGGATTTCAGCCTCAGTTGTATCAGTGGCCATGGCTGACCTGGATTTTTAAGGAACTTAGTGGTCATCTAGTCCATGTCCAATTCGTAGCCAAGGAGACTCAGCAAGCGTACAGCCAGCCCCTTGCTGCAGAGCTGGGGAGAATCTTGGCTCCTGGTTAGGGTTCTGTGGTAAGTTAGAAAAGTAGTGTTGGGAGTGGGGATTTGATTTTACAGAAGGAAAAGGACTTGTACTATTATTTTCTTCCCTGTTAGTGGAGATCTGCTTGCTCCAGGGACACAGGTAGTTGTACAGAATGAAGTACAGAGGATACTTTGTCCACATCTGTGTGTTCACTGGAACATGACACTGCTCCTGCACCCGTGGCCTGTAGAAATAGGTGTATTGTGGTGTGGGCTGTGAGGGAAGGGTGTAGTCTGTTATGAAGTATGAGAAACTGACTATGGACATCCTTGCAAGCAACTTTCCTGAAATTTGACCACCTTGGTATGGTGACCACCAAGCATAAATCATATTGGTGGTGCACACCCGTAATCCCAGACACTTGGGAGGAGGATCAGAAGGTTAGCTTTCTAAGAACTGTCTCAAAAATGAAAAAGGCTGGAGATGTATCATTATCAGCAGTAGACCACTTGCCTAAAATGTATAAGGCCCTGAATTCAGTCCATAGTACCACAAGAAAACAGCCACGTTTCTGTGTTCCTCTCTGTTGCTTAGTACCCATGTGCTTAGTAAGGTTTGGGATGTGAAAGGTTGAGTCTGGACCCAGCTGTTTATAGAACTTAGAATGCAGTGTGCACACAATTCATCACTTACTATTCAGCAGATGTTTAACTTGCCACTGTGCCAGGTTCTGCTTTATGTGCTGGAGAAGTAGTACTTAAAACGATGAGAGTCCCAGCGTCATGGCCTTTACATTTTAGTGGAGGGATACAAACTAAAGGAATGAGTGGATAGAGCCAGAGGGTGAGGGTGGGACACTGCAGCAGAAGGTAGGGTAGGAGAGGAGGGAGGGAGCCGACCTTTCAACTGGGGAATGCATGGAAAGGGCCCAATCTACAGGACCCTGGCTGATGTGTATGGGAGTTGGGCACCGAGTGACAGGAGCAGAGTGAGTGAGGGGCAAGCATAGATGATGGGGACTGTCGGCGAGGGGTCCACACAGCCCATCAAGGCCCGGAGGAGGGATGAGCAGCAGGTGATGTGACTGGGCCTTGATTGATTTCCCACTGATTTTCTCAGTTGACATTCCAAAGGTCTAATTTTCTATCAACAGAATATCGAAGCTCTGTTAACTTTTTTTTTTTTTTTTTTTGGTACCAGGGATTGAACTCGGAACATTGCGCTTGCAAGGCAGGTGGCATAACCACTGAGCTAAATCCCCGGCCCCTAAGTCTCTGTTAACTTGCACCCTCAAAACACAGTACTTTTAAATTGAATTTTTATCTGATGCATAAAAGTAGTGTTTATTTTAATTTACATTTGTTTAATTTTGAAGTGAGGTTGACTATGCTTTCCTATGACCTGCCTTTTTATGTTCTTTGCCCTTTGAACATTTTATCTCTCTTGTTAGTTTTCTAAAACCTGTTTCTGTTTTAGTGCAATGCAGTTATTTTCCCACTGTTTCAACTTTCTTTATGATATATTCTTTTGACAAAGGTTTGAAATGTTTATGTAGTTAAATTACGTATTCCTCTTACGTTCTTCAGGTCTGGGATGACCCCTAGAAAGGCCTGTTCTAAGACAGATAGGTACATAGGTAGGTAGGTAGAGTGATAGCATTATTTTTTCCTATAACTTTGGTAGTTTTTGTTTGTTTGTTTTAGTATTTATTCCATCTGAAATTTATTTTGGTGTAAAGAGTGATGTGTAGGGAGCCAGATTTTCCTTTTCCAGTTGACTGGTGGTTGTCTCAGGCCTGCTTATCCCTACTGACATGAGGTGCTACCTTGATCTAACTCATTTGGTCTAGCACCCATTTGTATTTTTAAAAATAATCTAATCACCAGCTTTTTTTTTAATGGCAAAGAGAATTGGTAAACCTGTATTAAGTTGAGTGTTTTCTGTTGCCTTTGTATCTTTAGGAAGATTATATCCAAGTTAGAGTATTAGAGTTATGACGAGTTCTGGGAAAGGGGAAAGTTGATGAGACCCATGCTGTTGCTGGGTGCAATGACCTAGGTGAGGACAGTTTAGAGCTCTAATTGCAGCTTAAAGCTGAGTAGGTGAAGGACACAAAGCTGTCAGTAAACAAGGTAGATGTGTATGCTGGTGTTGTATGCTGGGATAATAAAATGTTAGCTGACACGGAACACAGAAATTTGCTAACTGACAGAGAAACAATTTTAGAAAATTTTGGAAAAGGTAGAGAGATTAGTGGGGGTTGGAATATCGGGGCTCAGAAGAATACTTCATTAGCTGTATTTCTACTGTATTTTTGTCTTGAATCTAGGTTTTAGTCCATTAAAATCCTTGTGATTCTGGGCCCCTTTATATGAAATAGAAAACTTAGGAAATTCAAATATGTCTGTGCAGTTGCTAATAAGATTATTTTAGCTGCTACATAAATAATCCTGCTAGCACTAAACTACTTCATTCACAGCAGGTCTTGACTTGTAGTGTATATGTTTAACACAACCTTATGCCGCCCTGACTCATTGGCACGATTGGGACCAGAATCTAGGTCTCACATTTGAGCTCAGTGGTCTTAGACTAAGCGGACCCAAGTTATACTCTTTCATAATGGAAACTTGTACAGTGTACATACATGGGACACGTCCCCAGGGTTTGACCTTAATTCCTCAGAGTTTCCATTATAGGACTGGCTGGACAATGGCCCAGAACAAGCTATTCAACAAGATCCTCAAAGCCCTGCAGTCTGACCGGCTTGCCCGCTTGGCCAATGAAGGGGTAAGACTCCAGAATCTGCCCGTGTGGGCTCTTCCTCATCCAGCCTCAGCGGCTGACTGATTTATGCCCCCCATGGGGAACTTTTTTGTTCCTTCCCTTTGCTCCTTGCAGGCTTGTAATGAGCCAGTGCTGCGTCGTGTTGCCGTGGACAAGTGTGCAAGGAGGGTGCGGCAGGCGCTGGCAAGTGTGAGCTGGGACACCAAGCTGACCCAGTGGCTGCACACCACCCTCGTGGAGACCCTGAGTCTGCCCATGCTGGCTGCCTACCTGGATGCTCTGCAGACGCTGAAAGGGAAGGTAAGGCTGTGCTTGGCAGGTAGCCAGCCTCTCCTGTGGGTTTGGGTAAGGTCGTTACCTGGTCAGCTGGGAGGGCAGGGCCGAAGCTTAACAAATTTGCCATGAAGATAGGAGACAGTGGGATTTTGTGTTTGCACCTGGCATCGGTGTCTTCAGCCCTGTCAGCCAGCATGAGGCCTGAATGACAGAGTACATGCTTACCCTCTGCAGCCTTGCAGCTTGTCATGGTTTGAATCTTTGAGAGCTTGAAATGTCATGGAGGAGATAAAGGGTTCACCAGAGCGGAGTGCCACATGGAGGGCCAGGAGGGCCAGGTGATTACAGAGCCAGACAGTGCTGAGTGTGGAGCCTTAGGTAGCAATGCTTGGACAGCAGTACTTACTATAGATGTGTCATGACACACCCCTGCTTGCTGACTTAGACAGCACTGCACAGGGCTGAAGTAGTTTTCTTGGAGATGCCGGCTTTTGTGAGGTCACTGACCATGTTGGGCTGTCTTCAGTGTAGTGGAGAGCAGGCTCCGGAGACAGATCTATCACCTGGCCTGCTCACCCTGCTTCTGGCCTGTGGTGTACATGCAGAAGAGTGGCTGGGTGGCCAGGAATTTAGCTTGGTGGTTCCAGAGCCTCGAAAGCTTAAGGTCCTGAATTTGATCCCTGTTACCAAAAGAAGAGTGGCTGGGTTTCCTCATCTCCTAAGTGGCGCCTGATAACAACACCCATGTACAATTCCTGGGAGGATGGAAAGGGCGAATCGAAGTAGAGTGCTTGGCACAAAATGTAGTGCAGAATAAGCCTGTAGTAACTGTTAGGGATATTTAAACGGTATCCTCATAGGTTCTTGAAATGTGGATGTGTTTTGCTCCAATACAAAAAAGGCCTCAGGCAACTTGAAGTAATTTAATTCCTGACTTTTTTAAACTTTTCTTTCCTTTCCTTTCCTTTCCTTTTTCCTTTCCTTTCCTTTCCTTTTTCCTTTCCTTTCCTTTCCTTTCCTTTCCTTTTCCTTTCTTTTCCTTCCCTATGCTAGGGATTGAACCCAGGGCCTGCCAGACAAATGCTAATCCCCAGTGTGTCTGTCCTCTCACCGCCCACAGTTTTTCTTTCTGTTGCAGGTTGCTGGCCCATCTGGCTGCTATAAGTTGCCTCTCTCTAGCTGTATCTCCAAAACTTTCAGACTTTTATTTCTTAACCTGTTTTTAAGTTGCAGGATGATGTGTTTGCTAAAAAGCTGAAGTCTCGGGATGGGGATTTAGCTCAGTGGTTCCGCTGCCTGCCTTGCAAGCGCAAGGTCCCGAGTTCGATCTCCAGTACCAAAAAAAAAAAGTAAAACAAAAAACAAAAATACCCTGCAAAAGCTGAAATCTCCTTTAGTGCTGAAATAAAACTCAGGACTAGATATGTTAATGATGTATGTGATAGGGAGTTTGACCTTCCATTTTTTCATTCAGCTAATATTTATTTTTTGCTAACAATGCATCAGGCCCAGGGGTGAATAAAACAATAGTTCCTGCTCTGCTGGAGCTCATTTTCCAGTAGAGAGTGAGAACAGATGAGAAGAGCACCCCAGAGTTCCCCACAGCAAGGACCCCAGCCTGGGAGTGAGTGGTGGGCAGGCTTGGGCACAGGCAAGGTGGTGTGGGAACATGGCGAGCCCTCGGCAGAGAACAATGGACTGTGAGTGTTGGGAGCATCTGTATATCTGCTCTCCATGTCACTATCCCTGCACTAATGGCACAGCCTTGGTGCACCTGTTCTAGGGAGTGATTGGTGCCCCCAACTCTCAGGTGGCTCTGCCTCCCTTGCTGTGGCCAGCAGGATTAGGATGTGGTAAAGACAATCTGCACTGCTTTATCATGTAAATTATGGCTGGGTGTGTCTCCTGTGAATGAGGTAGCATCTGCCATTTGCAAGACAGGCACCTTTGGGGACTCCACAGGTATGCACAGTGCGGGCTGTGTGGCCTTGCTCTTGGACTACAGAACAGGCCAGCTGGAATGGAGTGCGTTCCACTGGGCTCCTTCACCTGAGTTTAGACCAGGGTGCTGTCCACTCTGTGCTGTGCTTTCCACATGGTTACTCTGACACTGAAACTATTTAGAGTCACAGCAGATGCTTTGGTTTTTCCCAAAGGGTATGGATGATTATATAGTTATTTTGCTTTTTTTTTTTTTTTTTTTTAAGACAGAGTCTTGCTTTGTAGTTCAGACTGGCCCTGAACTCACTATGTAGCCCAGGCTAGCCTTGAACTCGTGATGATTCTCCTGCCTCAGGCTCCAAAGTGCTAGGAGTACAGGCATGCGCCACCGTATCCAGCACACTATCCCCCCCCCCCACTTGCCAGGCAGGTGCAGTGCCACTGAGCTATATCCCTGGCCCCTATTCTGCTTTTAAAGTACCTGCTGGATGTTATATGTAGCAGGATGGGATCATGCCCTTGGTCCAGCTGCTTTCACCATGAGCTTCATTACAAGCACATCCAGCTCTGAATTGTATGTTGAAAGTGAATATAGTACTGGAAAGGCCAGCACCAAGCACCAAGAGGAAAAGTCAGTTATTGAATGGGCTGAGGATATAGCTCAGTGGCATTATGCCTGCCTCGAAAGCTCAAGGTCGTGAGTTTGATCCCTGGAACCAAAAAAAAAAAAAAAAATCAGTTATTGATTAATCTATGTTGACAGAAAGTGAGTTTCAAGGCTTTTTGGTTTCATATGCATTCTCAGCTGCCAGATAAAGGTTTTTAAGTCAATTCTCAGTTTCACAGTCTTAAAAGTATTGAAGGACTCACACGTAGGGAGTTACAGAGAATGCCCAGGTTGTGGTAGAGATCATTTGCAGTTTGGCTGTAGCCTTTGCTATCAGCTTTACCTCCTGCTTCCTTGCTCAAATCTTCAACTTCAGTCTGCCTGTGCCTGGAATAAGCCTCAGACACTGTCATCTCTTGCTTGTCTCTCTCATCTGCTGTTGGCATCCTGCCTGTTCTAAAGAGTCCTTTGTCTTTAGATGAGAATTGCCTGGTAGCCTCCCCTTCTCTGTTGGATGGTTCATCAGCAGTCGGGGGGGCTTCTGTTTCTCCCATGTTAACTTGTGTGTTTGTCTTCTTTGTTCCTTGTAGATGCAATTCCTTTGGTGCCTTGTGACAGCAGCTGTTGCATTGACACTCATTTCCTGAGTTAACCGAGACAGTCTCATGGTTATAATTCCTTAATTTCTCATATGGAAATATTTTTTAGGCCCCCCTCTCCCCCCTTTGTGGTGCTACACATTGAACCTAGTTGAACTGAGGGTCTTGGGCATGCTAGGCAAGCACTCTACCACTAAGCTACACCCCCAGCCCCCTAGTCTTTTTTAAATTAGGAAGAACTTACCTGCTGATAACTTTGAAGTTTTACCTTTTCTTTCCCTTTGGTCTTTTGTGGGTGGTATAGAATTCACAGAAGTATTTCTTTGTAGTGTAAACATCAGCATATCTGAAACCTATATTTATATATCTATAAGGTCACATTTTGAGGAATAGTAACAAAACCAGGATATAGTATAAATCAGTATTCATAGTACAGTAGGATATATGTTTTAGACACAACAGGTATGTGAACATGCTACAGCTTGAAGGCTCTATTCTAGAAGAAAATGCAGATTTTTAAAATTTATAAAATCAACTGATGTTCATTGAGAAATCTATAGAAGAAAAAGTCATCCAGCTGGGGATTTAGCTCAGTGGTTCCACCGCCTGTCTTGAAAGCGCAAGGCCCCAAGTTCAATCCCTGGTACCAAAAAAAAAAAAGTCACCCATAATTTCATAGAGACCATTATATAAACATTTTTGCATAGTGTCTTCTAGCCTTTTTTCTGATTGCAGATAAAATTTTTCTGTTCTGTTTTAACTTTTTTTTTTTTATTAGAACCTTTTATTCACCCAAAGCATTTACTACTTGGGAATACAAAAAGATTGTCAAGATGAGCCCAGTATTGGACAGAACACTACTTAAACACAGATACAAAACCATGATAAATATAACCTAAGAAGGTAGCAACAGAGTATGTTACACATAGAATATAAACAAAACAGACTTGAGGCATGCCATAGTGAGGATTCTCTTTGAATGACAAAGCCTAAGGCTGTTTATAATTCACTTATTAGTCCCCTTAACAAGAAAGGGTCTAGGGGGCCAGGGATCTAGCTCAGTGGTTCTGGCACCTAGCGCAAGGTCCCGAGTTCAATCCTGGGTACCAAAAAACAAACAAACAAAGCATGTCTAGGGAAACTAGCCTAGGTCTCATTCCAAACCCACTGCTTTTCTGTCTTCTGACCGGGTGAGGACAGTGCATGTACTGTACTTCTGATGGAGAGCAACAAGGCATTATCTCTGAAGTGGGGGACTGGAACTTCACCAGACACCAAACTTGCCAGCACTTTGTTCTAGGATTTCCTAGCCTCCAGAACTGCAAACATTTAAGCTTCTATTGTTGGAGAGATTAAATAAAAGGGGGTGGGTTGTGGTATTGTGTTGTGAACATGCACCAACTTCCCACGAGGACTGTGATCATTATGTACTACAAAAACATGTTCTAATAATAAATTAAACAAAATCTCTAGTGTTTACATATTTTCCAAGTGTTTCAAGAAATGGTCAAAGCAATTCAGAACTAGAACATACATAAGGGTGCTTTATACAATTTATTTAACTGAAATGCCATATACTGACTTCCATTTATTTTGATACATTTTGTCCCCAAGGTGATTTAGAGGATCTTCAAGCCAATATAAATATTTCATAAATATTTGGCCATTTGGGTATATATCTGCACAATACCTCACATCTTTCAGCAAGAAAAACACTGAAGAGTAAAGACCTGACACATTTAACTGGGTATAATGAGAATCTGCTCCAAATGTTTGTTTCTCTGAGGTAAAGGCACCACACACCTGTTTAGTTAAGAAAACCATCCTTACAGCACAGATTTTTTATTTTTAAGTAGGGCTTAGGGCATTCAGGCACTAATTAGGTGCTGCGTGGCAGAGCTACATCCCCAGCTTATGCCATGAATTTTTAGGGAATAGTTTCCAACAACTCAGGCTCCTTCCCATTGGTTCTCACAAAGTGTGCTTCTCTGGGTGGGGCAGGCTGGCGCTTCAGTTGAACCCAGGTACCTTTCTCTTTGACTTCCTTCTTTTTCTGATCATTTTCCTTGACTCATTTCAGGAAACTATCTCGAATCCTCTTGGCAAGTATCTTGCCCTTAACTTGCTTGTTTACAACAATGCCAACAGCATGCTGGGTAACATTGTAGACTCTTCCAGTTTTGCCATGGTAACATTTGTGTGGCATTCCTTTTTGAACAGTACCCATTCCCTTGATGTCTACAATATCACCCTTTTTGTAGATTTGCATGTATGTGGCCAAAGGAACAACCCCATGTTTTCTAAAAGGCCTAGAGAACATATACCGGGTTCCCCTCTTTCCCTTTGTGTTCGTCATTTTGGCAAATTACTGGAAGATGGCGGTTCTGGCCGAAAGCTATTTTAACATTTATTAAACATTTCTCTTTTTTTGAGACAGGGACTCACTATGTAGTCCAGACTGGCCTTGAATTGGCTGTGTAGCCAAGGGTGACTTTGAACTCATGGTGATCCTCCTGCCTCAGCCTCCCAAGTGCTAGGATTACAAGCATGCACCACCACACCCAGCTAAAATTATTTCTATGTGTTATGCAAATTCTTATAGATATTTGAAGATATCCAATAAGATGGATAATTTACTTAATCACTCCCTTAACGTGTACATTCAGATTGTTTCTAATTTTTTTATTATTACTGCCAGTGAATTTGTCTGTGCATAACTTTCCTCACCCTTGTGCATGTATTTCTGACATTTTCTTAGGGAAGGTTCTTAAAAGTGGAATTGTTTGGATAGGAAGGGAATAAGCTTACCTCCCTGCCACCTGTCACCAGATTCCACCTCTGCTCCTTGGGAGGCTGTGGGAGGCCTGGTGGAGCCTGTCGTCTTGGTTACTGCTGGAGCATGGCCCAGAAGCATCTGTCTTCTCCCCTCTAGATCCCGACCTTGATTGACCGGATGCTCGTGTCCTCCAACACAAAGACTGGGGCTGCAGGTGCAGAGGCCTTGTCTCTCCTCCTAAAGAGGCCGTGGGACCCTGCTGTGGGTGTCCTTTCTCATAACAAACCAGTAAGTTGGATGGCTTGGTGTTAATGGTGACACATGAGATGGTTACACTCAAGTTTGGAACCCCAGTGAGAGGGTGATAAATGGCTACGTAGCTCTTTGAATTAATAAATTGTTCTTGTTTGCTTGTTTGTTTTTGTTTTTGTTTAATGGTACTGAGGATTGAACCCAGGGAGCACTGAGCTATATCCCCAGACCCTGTACTTTTTTAAATTTTATTTGAAAAAATAAAATAAAATAAAATTTTATTTGAGACAGGGTCTTGCTAAGTTGCCCAGGCTGCCCCAGTCTTCCAGGTAGCTGGGACTGTGGGCAAATGCCACCGTGCCTGGCAATAACTTGATTTTTATAGAGCTTCACATAGCTTCATAGCAGAGGAGCATTGATGGGGTGCTGGACACTTCCCCCTCACTGGCTCTCAGGTGGCATTCTCTCTCCTTAGAGCAAACTCCCGGGCTCCCCTCTGATTCTCATCGCCTCCTCAGGCCCCTCCAGCTCTGTGTTTCCCACCTCACGCCGCCACCGCTTCTGGCAGTCTCAGCTCTCCTGCTTAGGCAAGGTATGTGTGGGCCTTGAGGGAACCCTGGGAGGAGTCTGATGGGTGAGCTCAGGTGTGGACCAGCCTCCTCACCCTTTTTATTTGCATTTGAATGGTGCTTGTCCAGGTTTGCAGGGCTGGGTAGGTCAGAGAAGATGCGAGGCTCACCCCTGCTGGCTGTGTGCCCTTCTTTCCTCTAGGTCATCCCTGTGGCCACCCATCTGCTGAACAGCGGCATCGGGGTGGGTGTTCTGCAATGTCTGGAGCACATGATCGGGGCAGTGAGGAGCAAAGTGCTGGAGGTGAGGATACCCTGGTTAGTTTCCCTTCGGCACACCCAGCATTCTGGGTCTGGTCTGACCCCATCTGGGGCCTCCTGTCTTAACTGTGTTCTTTCTTCTCCCCAAAAGATTCACAGCCACTTCCCACACAAACCCGTTATCTTGATTGGCTGGAACACAGGAGCTTTGGTGGCCTGTCATGTAAGTAATTTCCTTCTTATTTGGAGGTCACTGCAGAATTGGAGGTTGTCTTAGGGTACAGAGCTACCATTGCTGCTGATCAGTACCAGGGAACCCTTTACTGTTGTATTTTAAACTGTGTGAGACAAGCTTTATTTTTATTTTTGAAAAAATAAAAATTTCATAACAAAATAAGGGAATAGCAATAGTTTATACATTGTGTATCATAATCTTAAAATCTTTAGTTTTTAAAATTCCTCATAGAAAATTGTAAGCAGAAACAAAAGCAGGGGAGTAAACTCTTGAACCTCTCACCCAGCTGTCCCAGTGATCAGCTCACAGCCAGACTTGTTTTACCCCTGGTCAGTCTCTTTCTCCCCTAGGTTCGGTTCTGTTCTGTTTGTTCTTTTCTGAAATGGGCTGTCACTATATAGTTTGGGCTGGCCTTGAACTCTTGATCCTCCTCCGTCAGCCTCCCAAGTGCTGGGATTGCAGTCATGCACCCAGTTTACCCCACAGGTTATTTTGAAGAAAGTTTGAAATGCCATATCATTCCATTTATCTGTGTACCCAAACATTAGTACCACTATTCTCCCACCTTATTAATAATTCCAGCAGACACAAATTAATAGCTCTGGAATTTGATGTTGTGTTCATGTTTGGTCCCTTTATAAGACCGGACTTGTTCTTTACTATCTTACCTTGTATCTGCTAGTTAATGTGTCCTTGACATGTCCAAAGGCTGATTCTTCTACCAAGGTATGATATCTAAAGTGATGGGAAAACATCTGCTCAAAATCCCTGTACACGCCCAGGGACAGCAGAACTCTGTCACCAACTGCTCTGAGGTGTCTGGGAGCGATCCCAAAGCGTAGCAGAGGGAGATTTTCTCCACTTAAAGGAGAATGGCAACATTTGTGTTCTCTTCTTTTTTTTGTGGTGCTGGGATTGAACCAAGGGTCTCTCTACCACTGAGCTGCCTCCCCAGCCCAGCACTGTGTATGTTCTCTTGATTTATTTTAGTACTGAGAGAAACAGAGCAGGACCACTCTAGTCTAGGGATCCATGGGGTGAAGTATTAAACCTTCCATCCTGTGGTTCAGTTGTCTGCATTGGTCCTTTCAACCCCCCAGCTGAAAGGCTGAGTAGTGGCCACTTGCGGGACAGGACACCTTGTGTTCCATGATCTTCTTGCTGCCTCCATGGCTGACTCCCCTGGGGTCAGGACAGGCAGAGGAGGTGGGACTGGCTGGTGGATCTCGACACGTCTGGATTTCAGGCAGGCTGATGTGCCGTTATTCACAGGTATCGGTGATGGACTATGTCACGGCTGTCGTCTGCCTTGGGTTTCCTCTCCTTACAGTGGATGGCCCTCGAGGGGTAAGAGTGAGGTGAAGCTGAGTGCTGAGCTGAGGACAGCGGAAGCGGGGGGACAGTGCCCTGGCTGGGGTCAGCACTCTGTGAGGGTGAGCTGGCCAAACCTAAAACCTGACCCTGTCTCAGGATGTGGATGATCCCCTCTTGGACATGAAGACTCCAGTCCTCTTTGTCATTGGTCAGAACTCCCTGCAGTGTCATCCTGAAGCCATGGAGGACTTCCGGGAAAAGCTTCGAGCAGAGAACAGCTTGGTGGTAGTTGGGGGAGCCGACGATAACCTCAGGTGGGCAGTCCCCAGAGCAGCACGGGGCAGCAGTGTTAGAAGAGCGCCTGGAGGGCCAATGTAAACTACACCATCTGGTGCAGTTAAGAGTGGGCATTAAAATTTTTAAAAATTTTAATTTCAGATTTATAAAAGGTGGTGAAATTAGGTAGAAAGAATCCCATATACCCTTCACCTAGATTTCCTAAGTGTTGACATCTCGTATAACCAAAGTATAATTCCCAGAACAGAAGATTAACAATGCTGTGACAGCATCATCTCATCTACAGACTCAGATTCCAGTCGTTGTCTCCATACTGCCCTTTTTCTGACCCTGCTCTAACCCAGGATCACACATTGCACCTAGTTAACACGTATCCATAGATAGTCTCCTTTAACTTGATACAGTCCCGAAGTCTGTCTTTATCTCTTATGACCTTGACATTTTTGAAGACTACTGGCCAAGTGCTTTGTAGGCTGTCCTTCAGTTTAAGTTTGTGACACTTATTCTGATTACATCCAAGACATGCCTTTTTGGCCAGGAGTTCCTGGCAGTGTGCTGCTGTGTGCCTCCCATTGAGATACATTGCTGCTGAGCATGATGGTATACTTGACCACATGGTTAAGGGAGCTGCTGCCAGGTTCTCCACTGTGAAATTACTGTTTTTCTCTGTGTAATTAGTATCTATCTTGTGAGTGGAAGACACTTGGAGACTTTGTAAATATATTCTTTGTCTACTTTTACTGGGGCTGGCAATTTTAAAATGTTTCATTCCTTAGGATGAATGTGAACAAGGTGTCATTTGCATGATGCTCCTTTGAAATTTTTTGTTTTGTTTTGTTTTGTTTTTTGGTACTGGGGATTGAACTCGGGTCCTTTGGTGTTTTTTGGAGTGTGAATGCAGGGGGTGCTGTAGGAAGACAGCTTTGCTTGCTGAGGCAGCCACTCAGCTCATAATGCTGGGCGTGTGGGCCCGGAGAGGGGTTTTCATGAAATGAGCCAAAAATGAGGTTTCGACATTTATTTGGCCTCCTGTTTCTGTACGCTCAATCTTATAGATTAATTTTTGCTGTATGTTTAACTAGAGAGTTTAAAGCAAGTACTTGCTCCTGTCTTTCTAATTTGCTCTGCAGATGTTTTGGAGAAATCTTCCTTACTTTGGTTATTCACCAGCTTCTTGTTGAATTTAATGTCTAGTGTTTTGTTCTCACTGCTGTGTTTTCATGTAAACACATTGTTTTTCTTAGTAATTCAGGCATTCTTATCTGTAAGAGAAGGGTATGTGTTGCCCTGAGGGAGTCTGGGAGATAGGCATGCTGCTGTCATGTTGCAAGGCTGGTTAGGAGATATATTTGTGTGCTACGAGAGAAGAGCATTGGACAGAACTGGGAGACCTCAGTTAGTCTTGACCTCTTTGCTTAGAAGCTTGGATAAATTGCTTAACTCAGGCAACTCTGTGTGCTAATCTGAAAAATACCAGACATCTTTTTTTTGAGATGGGGTCTCCCTTTGTAGTGCAGGCTGGCCTTGAACTCACTATATAGCCTAGACTGACCTCAAACTCAGTGTCAGAGTGATCTTCCTGCCTCACCCTCCAGAGTGCTGGGACTGCAGATGTGTGCCACCACGCCCAGCATGACCAGATATTTTATACAAGATTGGGAACCAACAGCCAGTCAGTTGGGGATCAGAATTCAGAGATTCAGTAATGTTGTCCCCCACCTGTAACGTGGAGACCTGGTCTTTCTTTTCCAAGACCCCCAGTCAGAAGCCAGAGTTTTCAGGCTTTTAAAGAGGGGAATGTAACTGTTTGTGGTCATTTTTTTGTATCCCTTTAAAACAAACCTGTGAGCCTTGATGTCTCCTCTTTCTCCTAGCCCAGTAACCTTGGAGTGGGTGGGAGGCTGTGTTGGGGGAACTCTCAGTGAGGACCTAGCAGTTCATATGGACTTTACCTGTTAAACCAGGGGTATGGGACTTCTCGAGTGGACAGTCTCTGACACTGTGGTTGTTGTTTTGGGTTTTTGTTTTTTTCAGACAAGGTCTCGCCCTGTAGTTCAGGTTGGTTTTGAAGTCACTATATAGCCCAGGCTGGCTTCATGCTTATGGGGGTCCTCTTGCCTCAGCCTCCCAAGTGCTGGGATTACAGGCCTGTGCCAGCACGCCTAGCTGTACAGGCTGCTTTGTTTAATCCCTACAACTCCCTGAATAAGGTGTTATGCTTCTGCTTTTTGCAGATGTGAAAATAGACTCCGAAAGTTTACATCACCTGCCTGAGGCTAACGTAGCCTTCCTCCCCAAGCCTCAGGCCTAGAAAGCAACACAAAAGATAAATCTGTTCTTACTTCCACAGGATGCTATGGTTTGTTATATTGAAAAAAATAAACATTTTCTCCTTTTGTCTCTTAGAATAAGCAAAGCAAAAAAGAAATCAGAAGGGTTAACTCAAAGCATGGTGGACAGATGTATTCAGGTACATCATCATCTTGTGTCTTTCTCAGCTAGACTTTCCTTCCTCTGCCTTGTTGGCAGCAGCCTCAGTGGCTCTGGAGGCTGAGGGGGTATGCACTGGGCCTCTGGTGGCCTGAGTTATGAGCAAAGGAAGGGAAAAGAGGGAGAAAAGAAGCAAAGAGAGTGGTGAGCTGAGAAGGCAGAAAGGTCTGTGTTGGGGGAGCCCGGCACGTCCTCTCTGCAGCACCCCTTGAGGCCACCTCTGGCCAGAGCTAAATGGAGTCAACACTCTGAGCTTTTGGGTGCTTTCCTGTTCTCCAGAGGAGGCCTCAACAGCTTTGGCTCTTCTGACACTAGGACGAAATTGTGGACTTCCTGACTGGAGTGCTCACTCGAACCGAAGGCCACGTGGGTTCGGATCCTCGGGACCAGGATGCTGAAAAGAAGAAGAAGCCCCGTGATGTATCCCGAAGAGACCTGGCCTTTGAGGTCCCCGAGCGGGGCAGTCGGCCTGCTTCCCCTGCCACCAAGCTGCCCGCCTCACCCTCGGGCTCAGAGGTAAGGCAGGTTAGGAGGGGCTTTGGCCAGGGAATGAGGACCACATGTGGCTCCTTCGCTTCCCAGGGCCACCTGTGAGTTCCCATGAGGGAAGTGCTGGGGGACATGCTAATGATGGTGGCCCAAGTGACACTGGCTCATCTCTTGGCTTCACCCTCTACTCAGGATCTCTCCAGTGTGTCCAGCAGCCCCACCTCCAGTCCCAAGACCAAAGTGACCACAGTGACCTCAGCCCAGAAGTCCAGTCAGATTGGAAGCTCTCAGCTGCTAAAGAGACATATGCAGCGGACAGAAGCTGTGCTGACTCACAAACAAGCCCAAGGTACAGGCTTCCGGCCCGGCTGCTCCCATGGCTTCTACTTCTGCCGTCGGTGTTGTGCGGGAGTTGGGAAGTGTTTGATCTGCAGCTTTCTCCAGGGGATGTGAGAGACACCCTTTGCCACATTCCTGTCCAGGCAACGTTAAGTTGAAATGAATCCCAGGGGCTGTGCCTTGTGGGGCTTTATGGTCCCCAGTTAGAGCTTTCCTTGTTGTGTAGAGAAAGTTGGGTTTGTGAGCTGACTGCATGTGGACTGGCCTCAGCTCTTCTCTGACGCAGTGGGGAACTGCATCTTCATCTGCTCCAACTCTGCCAGCTTCGCCTGCAGTCAGGGAGCTCTCCAGGTCACACCTGCAGGGTGACAGACTTTACTCACCAGATTCTAGGACGGCTCACCCAGTGTTGGTGTCATGTCCTCCTTTTTTCTTTTTTTTTTTTTGGTACCAGGAATCAAACTCGGGTCCTTGCACTTTTTATTTTATTTTTTATTTTTTGGTACCAGGAATTGAACTCAGGTCCTTGTGCTGCACAGCAGGCGGTGAAATCACTGAGCTAAATCCCAGGCCCTAAAAGCCTTCTATTTTGTTTTGTTTGGCACCAGGGATCAAACTCGGGACCTTGCTTGCGCTTGTGAGGCAGGCAGCGGAATTGTGTCCTTTTTCCCTTGAAGAGTTAAGCTTCCCATGCTGGGACCACGATTCAAGTTGGCCAGGGTTGTCTGCACCTAGGTTTTAGATGAAGCTGGAAACACTTGCATGGTTGGAATTAGTTTGGAGCACTGCAAGTGCTCCACAAGGGCCTGTAGACAAGGGAGAGTCTGGTGGACTGAGCAAGCAGCAGTAATGGTGGTTCCCCCACACTGAGACCCAGTGCCTCCTAGGTGCCCATATGTGTGATGTGTCCAAGAGCACATATGTTTGAGATTCTTGGGAATAGTCCCTGAGAAGAGGCAGTAGTCCGAGCTGACTGTCAAGCAGAGTACGCTGAGGACAGAGGAGGCTGACCTTGCTTCCTTGGTGTGGCTTTTAGTGGAGCCAGCGGGTCAGAGCTTCTGCCCAGGCCTCTTGTGAGGTTGCTCAGAAGAGTGGTGCCAACAGAAGCAGATGTGTGAGTGGTGGTGAAGGCAGAGTCAAGGCCCTCATTGTGTGAGGGTGCCCTCTGACTTGGCTGTGCCCAAGTGGTGTCCAGAGCCTGAGACATTCGATGAGGACAGAGCAGCCATCTGCAGTCTCCTCAGCAGTGTGATAGTCAAGACCCGAGGAGTTCCAGAAGGCTGATGGCTGATGGCCTTAGTGGAGCTGGTGGCAGGCAAGGAACAGCACCTCACATAAACGGAGCACTGTCCATGGCACCTCAGCAGCGGCCCAGGAGGCGCGTATATTGTCCTTGGTGTATGGAGATTCCAGGGAGCTGCTTGCTCCGTGGCCATGTGACACCTCAGAAAGAGCCCTGCTGACCATTTCCATCTTTTTCTCACTCTCTCTCTTGTGCTCCTTTCTCTGGCTGGCTGTGATTCTGTAATTCTTTCTGATTCATTCCAGCACAGTTCGCTGCTTTTCTGAAACAAAACATGCTGGTGAGGAAAGCTCTTCCTCCTGGCACCTCCTGTCTCGTTGGTGAGTATTGCTCTTTTTCTCGCCTGCTTGTCCTCCACTTTCTGCTCCTCTCCCCACCTCTCCTCCTCTGCCTGTTTGGTCCTCCTGTCCCTTCTCTCTCCCTTCTTCTGTTTCCTGATTGTTTTGGCAGCTCCCTTTGCTCACAAGCTCGGTGGTCTCTGCTCTTGCCCCATTCTTTTTGCTTGCTTCTTGTAGTGTTTTGCTTTTTCTCTCTCTTGCTGTGGTTCTCAGCTCTGCTTCTCCTTCGTGTGCCCATTGCCTATGAGCCTGAGTTTCCTTGTCTGTCATCTCCTGCTCTGTTCTGTTTCCATCCACACCAGTATTGTCTGTGCTTGGAGAGCCAGCCTGCTTCTCTGTATGAAACCTGTCACTCCTTTCCCTGCTGCCTGCCTTTTTCCTCTGGTTGCAGCCAGTGCACCTGTCCCAGGAGTAGTCCCTCAGCTGGTGACACCTGCACTGTGGCCCCAGGCCAGGAGCCCCTCCGTCCGCCCTACCCCACCTCCCAGCCTTGCAGTGCCTGTGCTAAGAGGGGTGGTGACTCTGGCTCTAGAGGAGGGAACATCTAAGGTAGCCTAAAGAACAACTGGAGTCCCGCATGCATGGCCGTGTGCATAATGAGTCCATTGGAGTCAGTGGAGGGAGAAGCCCAAGCACACATAGCCCTGGGCGAATGACCTGGGCCGCTGCTACGTTGTTACTGTGAGCCGTCATGAAGTCCTGGTGCCCGTCCTCATTGCCTCCATTTGTCACGCAGGCCTTCAGCCTTGGGCTCTTAGGGCATGGAATTCCTGAGAGCCCTATGCAAAGTCCCTGTGTGACCCTGGGTGGCCTGTTCCTCTGGGGTGCTTTGTGCAGTGTTCACTCCCACCAGCTGTGGGAAGATGTGGGGAGGGCTTTCGACAGGAAGGCAGTTGCATTCTGAGTCCAGGAGGACTGTGGTGAGCCTTTAGTCTGTGTTGTTGCCTCTGCTGGCCAGGATCAGTGTGTCTTCTGTCCTGTTTCCACCACACAAGGCCCTTTCCTTGTGATTCTAGGTCAGGGTGATGGATGGAGTGGTGCCATTGGAGAAGGGTGAGGTGGGGTCACCACAGTGGGGCCCAAGCTGGGCCAGTGTGCCCATGTGTCTCCTCATGCCATCCTCTGGAGCATCGTGTTTGCCTGTGCAGGATCTCATGTGTGCCCCGTCTCTTAGTTCCCATTTCTTCAGAGCCAGCGGAAGAGGTGGAGAAGGAGGAGCTAAGGGTCCAGCTGAAGCGGCACCACCCCTCCAGCCCTCTTCACAGCAGCAAGGCCTCCAAGCGGCCCAAGATCAAAGTGTCCCTCATCTCACAAGGGGATGTGGCCGGAGGGGCTCCAGAAGGTGAGTCTTGTGGCTGTTGAGGAGAAGCAGCCTGGGTCTCCAGAAACAGCACTGCCTTCAGAGGCGCCTCTGTTCAGTGCAAGAGACTCGAGGGGGCACATGGCAGCCACCTCAAGGGAACAGAGCCAGAGTACGAGAGGTGCTGAGGGCCACTTAGCACCCTGTACTGCATTTTGTTCTTTTCAGTTTCAATGAAAGACAAGATGCTCTAGGAAGCTTCAAAAATGGGAGGGGGAGGTGACCCCAGCTGCCTCTACTGTTAACACAGCTGTTCTTTCTCCATTCTCTAGGTTCCGTCCCTAATACGGTACCTTATGCTTAGCCTGGGTTGTGGAACTTGGAAAGGTAGGGGCCAAGCAGGACTCCTGTGACCTTGGGTTTCTGTTTTGCAGCTGCGGGAGGGAAGCCCATCACCATGACGCTTGGGCAGGCATCCTCGGGGACCAGGGAGCTCACCGGGCTTCTCACCACAGCCAAGTGAGTCAGCCACTTGGGCTATCTGGTCCCTGCTTTCCCTTCAGCCCTTTCTGGCACTTTAGTGCTTCAGGAAGATGGTGGATTCCGGATTCTTCAGTCAAGGGAACGTGACTTCTCTCTAACTGAGACCTTTGTCTTTGATTTGGGTCCCCTGAGCGTTCACTGTTAGGTAGAGATTGCAGTGTCGTGCTGTAAGAGCTAAGTTCTTCAGGCCTGACTTTTAGAACCAGAGGCCAGCTTCAGGAGTGGGTCAGAGAAACTGTGTCCAGGGCTAAGATCCTCGCCAAGCCTGTAGCAGTCCTCCCTGTGTTCCTGGTGTCTGCTGCATGCTGATCTTGGGTGACAGCTCCTGTCTGTCTCCAGGTCGAATGCTTCTGAAGGAGGAGTCACGGCTAGCCCCACCCCTGCAGGGGTCTCCAGCAGCACCTCGCCCAGTGCCCTGCACACACTCCAGAGCCGCTTGGTGGCCACATCTCCTGGCAGCTCCCTCCCAGGTATCTTGTCCCACAGTGTTCCCCAGCACAGTCGTCTTGGTCTGCTGCTGGAAGGTATAGCTCGTTCCTCATGGTGGTCAATGGTCGTAGAGACTGTCAGGAAGGCAGAGGAAGGAATCTTTTAACCTTAATATCTCTAAGGAACAAATGTTCCTGTGTGCAGGGGCTGTGTCCTCTCCTGTAAGGGCTGGGCATAGTGTTGGTGATGTCACTCGATACTGAGCACTTGCCTTGTAGGTGCCAGGCCCTGGTTCCATCTCCAGCATGGAGATGGGGTTAGGGGAATATGGGTAAGGGTGAGAAATAGCTGGCGGGAGATGTATGTTTGAGCTTGTATTTGAGGGTTTTAAACATCTCTGACTGAACACAACTGGAAACAATGCTGTACTGGTTGTTAGCAAAACGAGCTGCTTTTCTGTGTGTTCTGTCCCTCATTTTCTCAGACCCCACCCTGCACAGAGAGCTGGTCTCCTCTGCCCACACAGCTGGCACTGCAGAACTCCCCCTCCTTCAAAACTCGGTGCAAGTGAAGTTAAGTCAGATGTCTAGAGGTTGTTGGCCTTAAAAAACCCTTCCTCTTTGCTTGGAATAAAAGGAATTTAGATTTCTGAGGTGTAATTCAGGTACTCCTGGGTTTTCTCAGCACTGTCCAGAATGTGAGGCTGATGTTTCGGACCAGGCTGAGCTGTGTAGAGCAAATTCAAGGTTGCATCTGCGTGTTCCCATCTGTGGCAGCCCGTGTCGTGCTGCCAGTGACCTTCCTGAGGGCAGGGAGTGTCCAAGGGCAACCTGGAGTCTAGGGCTGGTGCAGCTGGACCACGTGGCCACCCTGGGGGCCCTGTGCGCAATTGCTGATGTCCATCATGTCCTCTCCTAGGGGCCGCTTCAGCTAGCAGCCTCCTCCAAGGCCTCAGCTTCAGCCTGCAGGATATCAGCGGCAAGAGTTCCGGCCTCCCCACAACCCCCTCCTCAGGGCTGGCTGCACAGGTGGGCTCCTGATTCTGCAGCACAGTTGGTTTTGGTAGGGAGGTGGGCCTGGAGTCAATAGGTCAAGGACAGCCAGCCAGGAGCTCCCAGTGGGGAAGCCCCATCAATTACTGTGTGGCCAAGGGCAGGTTTCTTGGCCTCTCCGTCCTGTTCGCTTGTTGGTAAAATGAGGTCATTGTAGTAACTCCGTCAAAGTTGTAAGGATCAAAGATGATGTACGCCAAGAGCCTGGCAGAAGACCTGGTCCGTGGTGGACACTCAGTGCATGTCAGCCTCTAGCAGTGTGCTTCAGGCACTCCACGCTTGGACACTGCTGCTGGGTGGCAGCTTCTGACTGCTTCGGCTTGTGTGTCCCACAGGCCACCAGTGTGAAGCTGCCCACCCCCATGCAGAACCTGAGTGCCATCAGCACGGGTGCCAGCACCCTTGTCCGTACCATTCCAGTGGCCACCACTCTCTCCTCCTTGGGCACCACCCCTGGTGGGAAGCCCACGGCCATCCACCAGCTGCTGACCAATGGGGGCCTTGCTAAGTTGGCAAGCAGCCTCCCTAGCCTGGCTCAGATCTCTAACCAAGCCTCAGGTGAGTCTGGAGAGAATGTGGGGACTCCAGATTAGGCATTCCCCCTCAATCTCCCATTTTGTGTGAGTGAGGTCTGAACCCAACCTCACAGGTCCTGGGATCACCCTCAGGTTCAGCTGTGGGGACTCAGCCCCCAGAGAGGCCGCAGGGGCACAGGCTGTGTCCTGATGCCTTTTGGGGTTGCTGATGGTGTGCTAACTGGGTGCCCAGCTGGGAGGAGGCCGAGGGTTGTGTCTCATGAGGAAGACTCTCCCAGGGGGGAAGGTGGAGGCCATGCCCAAATCCATGCCCCCATCTCCCTCTCTCCCCATTCTCTCTGTCTCTCAGGCCTGAAGGTCCCAACCACCATAACTCTGACTCTTCGTGGCCAGCCGAGCAGGATCACCACCTTGAGTCCCATGGGTTCAGGGGCTGCGGGGCCCGAAGAGCCCATGTCCCAGACGCTGGCCTCCAGCTCACAGGTGAGTGGCCTGGAGACCAGGGGAGCCTGGGCAGCCAGTGGCTGACTGGAGGAGCTGGCCTACACCGCCACTGTCAGCACATAGGTTCAGATCCACTCAGGGTTTGTACCTTTGGCACTCAAGCAAGTCAAGGGCCCGTTCAAGTCTCCTCCTCTGTGACACTCCCTAGTTGTCATGAGAATTAGATTTGGAAGTACTGGAGTGGGTGGTGGCAGCTGCAGCGTCTGGGTGCTTAACCCTTTCCCTTCTCCACCGCCCTGGGTCATCATTTGGCACTGAGGAGGGGCCGCTTAGCTCATTCTCTCTGCCTAATACCTTCCCAGGTCAGTGTTGGTTGCTGTCTTTCTAGGGCACAGCTCCGTCTTTATACCCTTCCCAGTAAATCCCCATCACATCCTCTTACCTAATCTGATTTCCATGGTGATTTGTCATTGTGCACAGGTTTAGTTTTGTATTTTGTAGGTAGGGTCTCACTATGTAGCCAGGCCAGTCTTCACCTCCTGACCCTCTTGCCTCAGGCTCTGATGCTGGAATTACAGGCATGTGCCTCCACCCCTAGCTCTACTATGTCCTTTTCAAGTAAAATGTTTCTCATTTTTAAAAAGTTCCAGCCCAATGGAGGGGAGTGTGCTTTTCTACAGGATGTGTGGTGCAGAGTTCTGTTCCCTCCAGGCCAGCCTGCCCAAGTCCCACTGGCAGGTGACAGTTCTGAGCCACTCCACAGGCCCTTTGTTTCATATGCTTTAGGGGAAAATGCTGAAATTGATGCCTGACATTTGTTGGGGTCATAGTGGCATCTTTTTGCAGAGGGCTGGAAGTGTTTTTATTTTACTCATTATTTTTTAAACTGCAAAAGCAGTTGCTTTAAATTATTCAATCACTGCAGAAATAATTTAAAATGAAAAATTTCCACCATGCTATTCCCAGAGATGGTACCCATTGTAATAGTTGATATGGGTACTTGCAGATTTTTCTTCCTCTACACAGTACATAATTTGTTTTAGACAGGAAATGGTTCACAAGGTATGGTTTATTTTGTAACTAACCTTTGTTCATAAGTCATGCTTGTGACATGCCTTTCTGTTGTTGACATGGAGCCCTGACTGTCTTTTCAGAGGCAGGCTAGTGTTTCACTGCATGGATTTATGAAAACATGTCTCACCCTTCCTCCTGTGATATAGCAGTTGGGATGTTTTGTGTTTTGGTACAGTGAACACCTTTTCTTGTGATTCTTGTAACCTTCTGGAAGCTGTTCTCTAAGCTAGAGAGTAAGTGGAGGGTTTGTGCCTTGAACTTGGCCCAGCTGCTGGCTAACTGCCCTTTTAAGTGTTTGGTAATCTTCAGTTCTACCCACAGTAATGAGAATGTCTTCTATAATGTGCATTTTTCCTGATTACTTTTAATATCATATGTCTTTGATGAATTGCTTTTTTTTTTTTTTTAAGGTTTTTGAGACAGGATCTCACTGTATAGTCTAGGCTGGTCTTGAACTCACTGTGTTGCCCAGGCTGGCCTCAAACTCATGGCTGTCCTCCTGCCTCAGCCTCCCAAGTGCTGGGATTACAGGCATGTGCCACCACTCTCAGCTGCCTGTCATATTCCTTATTTGATATGTAGTGGTTTCTATTTCTGGATCTTCTGTTCTTTGCACATTTAAAGTTTTTATATACTAAAGTGAAATGGGTAGTGACTTATTTTTTCTCATACTGTAATGCAGTTCAGCAGTATAGAAATGCTGCTTTCCTTGGTGGTTTGGTGGAAGTGACCTCCAAGGCCATTTGGGTCTGTTTTAGGCCATCTCCTCCTTTGCCAATGCCACATTGATGCACAGCTAGAACCCACGTCCCTGCTGGTACCTCTTCCTCAGTGGTGGGTGGTCTTCTGCAGCCTGCTGGGTCTGGGCGACTGGGCTTGGGAGTGACAGAAGAGAGGCGAGCCTTGTCTCCCAGGAATAAATCAAAGCACAGGATAAAGATCAAGTTTTGGTCTTCTGCCTGATGGTGCTGAGCCTGGGTTTGTTTGCCTGTGGGTAAAATGGACGTATGACTGTGGGAGGAGGGTTGGTGGTGGGCCTCTTCCTGCAGGCAAGGGTGTTACTCCTAAGGCTTCAGCAATCACTCAGTGTGTACACTGGAGACAGTGGTATTGAGGGAGAGGCACTGAATGGTGGAGTGGGCCATCCTTTTCTGGCTAGTTGTGACCTGTACAATCACTTGACCTCTCTGGACTTTGGTTTTCTTATGCAGTTCAGTGGCTTAAATCAGTGACTCTTGTGGTTGGTGGGATTAGATATCTCCTCAGGCTTTGGAAACAAATGTTTGAAGACTGAAAAGCCACCCATTTTTGGCATGTATGTGACAGTTGGAAATAAGGAATTGTTAATCTTTTAATGTGTGATAATGGTATTGCATTTAAGTTTTAATAAACAATCTTTTTTTACTTTGGAGTTACCTACTTGCTATATTTCTCCATGGAATGAACTTGAAAAGGATTATAAGCTAGCTGTAGTGGCATATCCTTGGAATCCCAGCTACTTAAGAGGCTGAGGCAGGAGAATCACAAACTAGAGGCCATCATGGGCAGCTTAGTGAAACCTTGTCTCAAAAAATAAAAGGGCTGAGGATGTAGCTCAGTGGTAGAGTGCCCTTGGGTTTGATCCCCGGTACCAAAAAGAAAAGGGCCAGGGATTTAGCTCAGTGGTGCCTCACTTGCCTCACAAACGCAAGGTCCTGAGTTCCATCCCCGGTACTAGAAAAAAAAAGTAAATAGGACCAAAAAGAAAAGAAGAAGGAAGAAATTTTAAAAAAAAGAAGGAAGATAGAAAACACCAGCTAGACTTCTGTAACGTCTGTGAAAAGACCAATTGGTTTCTGGCACTGATTAGTATGAATTCCGACTTTCCATAATGGGATTGGACCATTGTATGTACTTATAGCTGACAGTCTGTGGGTGGAAGAGGAGGAAAGCTGTGCCTGGCCTCAGAGTCCTGAGAAGCCATGAGTCCTTGCTTGCTCACGGTCCCAGGCACTCCTCTCTGTCCTCCTGGCCACACCTGACCTTGGCATGTGGGAAGACAGCCCCTCGAGCTGTGCCCCATGACAGTGGCTGCTCCCCCTCCAGCCTTGCCGCAGCCCCTGGGCACACGGGCTCATGTGAGCTCAGACCCTCAGACCCACTCTTTTTTTTTTTTTTTTTGGTACCAGGGATTGAACTCGGGACCTTGTGATTACAAGGTAGGCGGCAGAGCCACTGAGCTAAATCCCCGGCCCTCAGACCCACTCTTAACCACACTGTGGCAGCTGCCATGGGAGGGGGACCGTGAAGTTTTTGATTTATCAGCCCTTCTTTCCTCCCTTCCGATCCATCCCTCTTCCTCCCTTTACTGGATCCTCTGAATTTCCCAGGTGTAAAATGCAGAGAAGTGGTAGAAGACTTAGTGGGCAGTTGCCCCTATCTATCTACTTCCTTCTTTCTAAACTGGAGAGCTTCAGAGCTCTGCATGGTTTTTGTTTAATTTACTAGTTTTTGCAGGCTGTGGATTGAATCCAGGGCCTTGTGTGTGCTGGACAAGTGCTGTATCCCTGAGTCACACCCCTGGTCCCAAGGCTCACCAATTTGTGGCATTCTCTGCACACCTGCAGAATGACCTAAGAAATGATGGCAGAACAGTTATGAAAATCTTCCCTTTATTCTGTCACTCTTCAGGACTCACTGGTCTCCTTTCTTCTGCTTTCCCTTCCTGTCCTCATTTGCGAGAGCTGGCCTTTGTAGCTGAGCACATAGTATATCCTAAGTGCTTTCTTTGTGGGGGCTGACTCACTTAATCTTCACAACCACCGTGGAAAGTAGGTGCTGTTGGCTGTGTCCCACTGGTGAGGAGAAGGAGGCTCACAGAGCCCAGGGGCTGCTTGTCCTGAGGCTGGGCCACCTCTGACCCCAGAGTCCATGTTCCTGTAGTCACACGGCTACCAGGAACATGTCCTGTGCATCTGCCTGCGTCCCTGTCAGGTCTGTCCTGTGAACATTCTCAGGATGGGGTGAAGGGTCAGAGGGTCAGGATGTGGGAGCCTGCAAAGCTCTGACCTTTGCTCATTACCTCTCCCACCACAGCGCCTGCCTCCTGCACCCTGAAGATGCCATGAGGTGTGTCCTCCTTACCAGGTGGTGATGGCTGCTTCACAGTGGCTGTGGGCACGTGTGCATCCTGCTGAGCTGTTGGAGTGTCTGAAGACTTCTTTATAGCAGTCGTTTTGCCTCTCTGCCAGCTGTCTTCAGGGTCAGGCCTCTGGGTCTCAAGCTACCATGTGGCAGTGACATGGCACCGGCAAGGGGGCAAGGAAAGCAGTACCCTCCAGCATCTGCACTCTGGTTCCTGGAACACCCACCCTCCTCTTGGATCCAGCATCATGTACCAGAAGGCACTTCTTCCTCGCGATGATGTGGTTGACCTGAGTGCTTTTGGACTGCTCATGATATCTAATAAAGGACCCTCCTTTCTGCAGTCTGTCCTCCCTGTTCCCACCTGGAGGAGAGGGTCACATGGTCTGGGGCTGCAGAGGATCGGGATCATCCTGGCCCACTGGCAGGTCAGAGAGCTGTTGTGGACATCTCTGTTGCTTCAAGTAGCCAAGGACACTTTTTAAGAAACTGTACCATGTACAGAGTAGCCTGCTAGGAGTGCCCATATGGAGGCAAAGAAAACTGACACATCCTCTCTCTGCCCCTTGGCCACTCTAGGATGTGGGAAGCAGTGGTCCCCACGAGGTGAGAGCTGGCCCCTTCCTCTTTTCATCATGCTTTGGGCAGTTCCTGTACCTGGAGAGTCTGCAGGTCCAGAGGGGCTGAAGAGGAGGCATGAAGTGCCCTGTGGCACAGACAGTTTGAGCTTGGGGCTGTGCATCTGGCCCCTGAGGACCTGGTGATTAGCTAGAGATGAAAAACAGAATTTGCCAAGTCAGGGAAACCCCAACCTCTGACAGCCCTGTCTCCAGAGCAGGGTTAGGCGGGGCCAGCAGCTAAGGTAATATCTTGGCCCAGAAGCTTGGGCCATCAAGACAACCTTGGTCCTGGAGAACCTGAGCCTCAGGACGATGAAGACCGAGCTCCAGTGTTTCTGTTCACACTTCTCACTTCCTGCCTGGAGGTGGGGAGATTTATGGTGGCTGTTCTACTCTTGGTGCCAGCCTGAGCCTTTCGGGCCGTGGTCCTAGTGAAAGGCTCCCTGGGGATGGAGTGCTGAGGCCCTCCTGACCTCCTCACAGGGCGTGTGTGCAATGTGTTATGGGATTTGGATCCACACCTGTGCTCCAGATCGGGCTCCCTTCCCTTCCATACTTAGAATGTTTCCAGTCAGGGAATGAGGCACCTTGACTGTGACTGTTCAGTCCAGGGTCCCGACCCCCAGTGTGGTGTTCATCCAGACCAGGCCAGCTGTCAGTCCCACCAGAAGGAGCACACTGTGCTTGGTAGTCACAGACAAGGCAGTTTGGGGGGTGTATGTGGTGGGAGTGGAGAGGGTTCCCTAAACCCCCGGCCCTCTCCCTCATCTCCTGCTCTGATTCACACAGAATTAGGCTGTATTTTTGCATTAGCTGGTAGGTTATTTCAGAAGGCATCTAGGAAGATATGAAATTTAAGGAAGATATGAAATCTGAAAGGCATCCAGGGCTGGGCATTGACAGCTTTATAGGTAGAATCAAAACACAGCAAAAGAGCAGTAAGATGAGGCTCTGTGAAGCCCAGAGGACAGACGGAGGGCCCTGAACACGCTCACAACTGAGCAGCACAGCCTGGACCACCCCAGTGCTGCTCTTGAAGGACACTGGCCTGGGTGTACTGGGACCAGAGAGCCTCACCAGTCAACCTGCCTTTGTGCTGTCTTCCATGTGCTCTTTGGGTGACTGCTGACTTTAAAACTGGAGAGTGGGCTCAACACTGATCTTCGCTGAAGCAGAGCCAGCCTGTGGCGGAAGAGGTTGAAGTCTATAGTGTCACCTTCCCCAGGCCCCCTCCCAAGCCATACTTCCCACAGTGTCTGCCTGTCTCACAGCAGGCTTGGAGGCCACGACCTCAGAAGGTCTTGGCGAAAAACGTAGAAGGATCAAGAAGGCTTTAAATTCTTGGACAACAGAGGCATGTTGCTGCCCTGTAGATACCTTTGGGCTTCAGAGGAGGTCACTGCAAGGCCAAAGACCTGCCCTCAAGTGGTTCACCACCAGAACAGTCTTGGCTGGAGCTGACCTGCTGTGTTCTTACTTAGCAGAAACAATTAAAAACACCAAAACCAACCCTTTTTTTGTTTTCATTTGACTTCACATGTTTGTTGTTCTGGGTACCACCCAATGAGTGGGCCCAGAAAACAGTTAACAGTGTGATGCCAGTGGTGGTCTCACCAAGGTCAGGTGCTGTGAGGTGGGTACTGTGCTTTCCTTTTTACCTGAGAGGAAACAGGCACAGAGAAGTCACAGGCAGAGGCAGAGCAGTACTGGAACCCAGGTGGTCTGATGGCTGCACTGCTCTGCTCCGTGCTGGGGTCCTGAGATGGCGACCAGCAATGTGAGCCCAGGATAGGTGTCAGCTTGGCCTCAGTGTAACCCTTCTCACATTACCTCCCCCAGGCCACAAGCAATGGCTGCTGCTCCCATGGGGCTCTTGACCAGGACTGAGTCTGGGAGTCCTAAGTCCTTGGTCCTAGAAGACTCGTGTCCCTTTGCACGTTCTGTACCTGCACCCCTGCTCCCCAGTAAGTAAGACTTAGAAATGGGTGGGTAGATCCCAGCCTCCAGGCTAGTTGTAATCATGTACAGACATCCTCGTTTAATGACTTGAGTTCCTTTCCTGAGACTAGGTCGTTAATTGAATTGGTCACTAAATGAAGAATTGTATACAGTATGTACGTTACAATATTCAGAACAAAAATGGTCAGGGAAACTCCAGGTTGATGATTTTGCTTTTATTTGCATGACTTCTATGCAGTACTGTGATGTAGAATAGAACAACCGAAATATCTAGTACTGTAATATATAGTACCATCAACAGAAATCAAAGCACTGTTCTGTAGAAGAAGCCACCACAAGGCCACACTGCTGCTCACATTCCTGCACTGTTAATCTGAATGTGGGTCATAAGTCCAAACCATCATTAACTAGGTTGGTCATTGAATGAGGAATGCCTGACTCCCCAAGCTTGGCATTGGCATCCTTTGGTGGAGGCTGGGGCTGTGGGAGGGAACCCTCCTTTAGTACTTCGCCTGCTCCTTCTCTGCACCCATCTTACCAGCTTTTGTGAGCAAGACAGCGAAGGCTTAGGTTGTATAAATGACAGCTGTCTTTTACTTCAGGAGGGCAGGAGCTGGGGCACAGAAACTTAAGATGCAACAAGCCTTTGTTGATCATTCGCAGTCAGCATAGCTGGAACAGGACATGATCTCAGGCGTTCTGTAGATTGGTGCCTCTGCCACGTGCCTTGTGTCTACTGACTCCGACCTGCAGGGTCCAGTTTTGATCCTGTTAGGACACACCAGCCAGAGTACTTTGGGGATGGCTGGTCTCTGTTCAGATTCAGAAGACAGCCTGATTGACTCGAACTCACTACAGGCCAGTTCTTGGCCATCCCACCTGTTCAGTGGTAGTGTCCAGAGGAGGAGGTCACCTGGTTCCTGTTACCTTCCTAAGTGGTAAAGAGGCTATACACTTGTGTGGACGCACACACACATATCATGAATGACTACTGGATAAGACACCCTGCATACCCTCGCCAAGTCCCATACCTGCTGCATTATCTCAGAGAACTAGTACAGCATCAAAGACTGGCATTGATAACCCCGTGGCTACCACCAAGACGCAGAATGTTCCATCAGCACAGGGTCTCCCTTGTGCTACCCCTTGGTGGTCACTCCCATGCCCATGCTACCGTTCTGAACCTGCAGCAACTGCCCATCTCTGCTATGTCTCGGAATAGAAGAGTGCAGAAATAGAATTGTACAGTATGTGACCTTTTCAGGGTTTCTCCGCCCACATAATTCTCTTGATGTCCATCCAAGTTGTGTGCATCTGTAGTTCATTCTGTTTATTGCCGAGTGCTGTTCGGGATTACAGGCATGTGCCATCATGCCCAGCCCCGTTTCTGGTTTTGAGCTATTATGAAAAAAAAAAGCTGTTGTGAACTATTATATACAGATTTTTGTGTTTTCATTTCTCCACAACATATACTCAGGAGTGTAATTACTCCTATGGTAAGTTTTAGGTTTTGAGGAGTTTCGGATATTTTTGTTTTTGGTTCCCCCACACACACATACTGATGATCAAACTCAGGACCTTGTGCTTGCCAGGTAGGTGCAGCGCCACTGAGCTATATCCCCCCCGCCTCTTTTTTGAGACAGGGTCTCAATATGTAGTTCAGGCTGGCCTTGAACTCATTATGTAGCCCAAGCTGGCTTCAAACTTGTGGCAATTCTCCCTCAGCTTCCAGATTGCTGGGATTACAAGCATGCACCATCACACCTGGCAATTCTTATATATCTTTGATTTTTTGTCGTTATTTGATCACCAACTGTAACTGTGGAATTGTCTATGTCTCATTTCATTTCTTTCTTTCTTTTTTAGGGGTAGAGGAGTACTGGGACTCAAACTCAGGACGTTGTGCTTCCCAGGCAGGCACAGCGCTGCTGAGCTACCTCCCTGGCCCCCTCATTTCATTTCTATTAGCTTATGCTTCATGTATTTTGCATTTCTGTTATTTGGTATGTACACCTTTGAGAGTCCTGTGTCTTTTTGATGAGTCAAACTATCATTATATAATGTCCCTCTCTGTCCTGGGTAATTTTTTGCTCTGAAGTCTATTTTAGCTGATGTTAATATAGCTATCCTTGTTTGCTTTATTTTATGTCATGTTATTTATTTGTGCCTCAGGCCTTGTGCATTCTAACTGTATGCTTTACCAGTGGGCTATACACTGCCCCTCTTGCCTTCTTTTGATTAATGTTTATATGATATTTTTCCCATTCTCTTGCTTTCAGCCTACCTATGTCATTACATCAGAAGTGATTGTCTTGTAGACAGGCTGTATTTAGCATGTGATTTTTTTCTCTGCCAATCTCTTAATTCATGTTTTTAGACTTTTTCTATTATATGTAATTATAGATGTGTTAGGGCTTAAGTCTGCCATTTTAGTTTCTGTTCTCTGTTTTGTATTCTGTTTTCTTTTTCCTACCTGCATGGGTTATTGAACATTTTTTAAGAATAGAATAGTGCTTCTGCAGTGATTGCTATAAAGTATAGTTATATATACCTAACTTTACATGGTGGGTTGGTCTCCACATTCCCCTCTCCCACTTCTCATATGACTGTACACTTGCAGAACCTAATTAGCATTAAAGTCTTGCTTCAAGCTTAATTTTTAAAACTTGAGAAAGAAAATCTATTATAGTCAATTTTTTCCTTCATCTGAAAGTGTATTTCTCCTTAATTACTAAGGGATATTTTTTCTGGATATAAAATTCTGAATTGATCATTCTTACAACATTTTAAAAAAATATTTAGTTTTTTATGAGAAATTTGCCATCATTCAAATTGGTTTGCCCCTAGTAGGTAAGGCAATGTTTCTCTCTTTTTGCTTTTTTTTTTTTTTGGTACCAGGGATCGAACTCAGGACCTTACACTTGTGAGGCAGGCAGCGACACCACTGAGCTAAATCCCTGGCCCTTTTTGCTTTATTTTTTAACTTCAGTTTTCAGATTTGACTATGACCTGTCTTGGCATGGATTTCTTTAGTTTGTAGAATTCACTCAGCTTCTTGACTCTGTATGCTTATACCTTTCTGCCAGGTTTGGAGAATTTTCAGCAAATTCTTTCTTTTCAGCCCTACCCTCTTTTTCTTTCCTTTAGGACCAAACTGCCTGACCACTGGATCTTCAATACTGTCTTTAGATGTGGTCCTGCAGGCCATGTCCAGTCTGCCTTCTCTGCTCACATTGTATCATTCCTGTTCTGGAAGTCCATCGATTCTTCCTCTGTCTCCTCTAGTCTGCTATTGAGCTCATCCATTGGAATTACTCTTTTTCAATTCTAAAAGTTGTTTTTTTCTTTATAGATGCTTTCCTCTGCTGAGAATTTGTTTTCCATTTGTTCCCAGTGTATTCATAATTACTCCTTGAAGTACTGTTTATGATACTGCTTGAAAATCCTTATCAGACAGTTCTTATGTCTGGGTCCTTGGCATGCTGGCGTCTGTTCACTCTTTCTTGTTCAAGTTGAGATTTTCTTGGTTCTTGATATGTTCTCTAGTGGTTTTGAATGAAACCTGGATATTTGGAGTGTGGCTTCTGAAACTCAAGGTCTCACCCTTATCTTGTGTCTTCGTAGGCCTTGTTGACCTTGCCCTGGCCGGGGTGGAAGTCCAGGCTCCCCACTTCGATGCTGGTAGAGTGGGAAGGGCTCCTCCTTCCTTGGTGCATGTGAGAGTTTGGCTCCCCACCAGGTCCCCACTGGTGCCATCCCCTGCTGGGGATGGGATGGTCCCTTCTTGGTCACCCTCACCTGGCCTCACCTGCACTTCCTGTGAGTGCTGTGAAGAAGGGGAGGCATAGAGCCTGCTAGAGGGAAAGTCTTTTCCTTTTCTTTTTTTGGAGACAGGGCCTTGCTATGCAATTCAGACTGGCCTTGAACTCACTATGTAGCCCAGGTTGGCCTCAAACTTGCAGCAATCCTACTGCCTCAGCCTCCCAGTGGGCTCACTTTCACTAGGATGACAGCTGGCCCAGAGTCTCTCCTCCAGTGGTGCTGCTGCTGAGTAGGAAGCCACTGTACCAGCCTTGGGCAGGCAGTAGGGTGAGTTCTGTCCCATAGACTCCTACCTGGCAGCATGGCTGAGTGGAGGGGCTGTCCTACCATCTGCCTGGGCCAAGCTGCTCCATGATGGACTCCAGGGCAGGTGCGGTGAGTTCTATGTACCACTGGTGCATCGTTGAGGCCCCATGCCATGGGGGCTCTCTGGTCCTCCTGGTGCCTATCCTGAGAAGTGCATCTACTACTTCTCTGCCCCACCTCCTCACCTCCTCATCCGTGCAGCCCTAATCATGCATCTGTCCTGTCCATCTCACACTTGAAAGCCAGCCAGACCACCTGAAGTTCTGCCCAGTGGGAAGACTTCCATTTATCAGTCCTGCAGAGTCACCTCTGAGAGAAAGTTGCAGCCATCCCCCTTCTGTGAGGGACACTGCAGGGAGCCTGACTTGCAGATCGGGCCCACATGATTTCCTCCATGCAGCTGTTTATAAGGACACTCCGGG